AATAATTATTCATGTTCATGTTCACGTCTAAGTTATTCAGCTAGTTCCAAGTGCGACGTTAAGTCGAAAGTATATCCGCTTAATTTTATTTATTAACCGAGTCTATGATAATAATTAATCTTAGTCCATTTGTTTAATAAATGGACATTAGCAAATTCGGGATTAATTAATTCAGTATTGACGTATTGATCGAAATTGGAAATATTCGATTAATCGTCAAAAGATGAGTTTTGAGCCAGCTATTGAGTACCAGTTTTAAGTTTGACTTTTAGTCGATTTAATATTCGGTTTAATTAATTTAGTAACTGAATAAGTTTTCAGATTTAATTCGAATTCGTTTATATAATTAAGGAGTTTGGGATTAATGAGGTTAAGTCAAGGTAATATTCGAATTAATTTTTAAAGTCAAATTGTAACCGAAAATGAGTAAATTCGGTTTAAGTTGTCATGTGTACTTACTGTTCCTATACAGCGAAGCGTTCACATTAGGTACACCATCCATCATTAACTTATGCCTAATTAATTGTCATTAACCCTTGCTTAATTAACTTAATCCATGCTTAGCCTATTAATCTATGTTTACCCTATTAATACATGTTTATGCTTCATTAAGTATTATAATCATGCTAAATGATCCAAGTTCACTTCTTTAGCAATTGCCGTGAGTAGCTTGAAAAGGATTAGAAAATTTTGCAAGTTGCAAGGGTGATTCACCTACTTGCTTAGCTAGGTGGCTTTGAAGTAGCACCCCATGATGACTAAGCTTCTAGTAAGGCGCAACCTAAGGAGTGATTAGGCAAGCTTGTGCCACTAATCTCCACACCAAAGCTAAGTGTCGTAGCACTTCTCCACCTCAAGCTAATCGTCCCACCATTTTAATCTTTAAATAGCCTAGCCTTGCGTTGAAGTGAGTTACTTCATCTTTAGTCAAGAAAATAACACACAACCAAGAGAAAAGAGAAAGAAATAACCTAGAGCTTAAGGTAATAAAAATGTAGAGGTTAGCTTGTACTAAGCCCTTGTTCAAGCATAACACGCCTAAGCGAGGGGAAACAAGTAAGCACGTGCATAGTTGTTCGACCGCGAGCAAGCACACGCCAACTTTGGCATTTTCATCGAGCAATCGGAGGGGTATACTTATCTTAACCCTCTTTTAGTGTAATTATGTTCATTTCAAGGAGATCATGTAGAAATCATGTTGTTCAGTCCATGTTTTAAGTCATAATGCCCGCGGAGGTGCTATATAAGCCATTTCTGAGCCAAGTCAATATATAATCGAACACTTTTGAGCAATTCATGTATATTTAGTCATGTCATGTCATTTCATGTCCATGTTAAGTCGATCATGTAGTAAACATGTTGTTCGGTCCATGTTTTGTGCTGAAACACACTCGGAGGCGCTATATAAGCCATCTCCGAGCAATTTCCAAATCTAGCCAGCATGTCCGAGCACTCGGTGAGCACGAAGAGAACGAAGAGAATGAGATCCAGGTCGCGGTGCTCGAGGAGGAGGCCGAGGTCTCAATGCATGCGATGGCGGGTACTCGAGGACCAAGGACGATGCGACTACCAGCATGTGTCAAAGACCACCGTATAGTCGTGCTCGTAGACAACGGATCATCGCACAACTTCATCAACGCCGATCTATCTTAGAAACTGAAGTTGCCAACAACAAGGATAGAGCCATTCGCCGATCTATTTCAAGGATTAACCGTTAAAGCCGATCTCTATGCACTACCCTTGGTTGGACCCGACGTTGTGTTAGGAGTACAATGGCTCGAAGGTTTAGGAAAGGTGACCACCGACTACCGGACAGGAGTCATGGAGTTCAACTCAGGAGAGCACCGGGTCACGTTAAAGGCAAGCAAGGACGGCAGGACCAAGGGGGTTGGTTTCAAGAGTATTGAGCAGGTTTCGCATGGAGGTGGCCAGATTTTCGCCGTCGAGGAGGCAGGTGCACACGCGGGCACGATCAAGCCAGTCAAGTACATGGAGCCCCCTCTGTTCGTCGACTATTGCAAAGAGGTCGAGAAAGTCTCGACGGATTATGATGGCCCACCTATTTTCGACATATACCTCGAGGATGAACATGATGTCAAAGAAGTCGAGGAAACTGAGATCGAAGGCGAGGTGCAAGAGGTTTGGATGATCGAGCAACAACAATCCGAGATACGCGAGATGGTTAGAGCATCCGACCACATACTAGGCAAGTCCGATGAAGAAGAAGGCCGGGACGACGCAAAGTGTAAGGAGCCTATCCTTATGTTTGAATTCTCAAAATATTTTAAGGACCCAAAGGTCGACGAGTACGTAAAGGAGTCAACGGGTTATGAAGGACCGCCTATTTTCGATGTATACCCCGATGAAAACTTTGTCGAGGTCGAAAGAATTTTGGTCGAGTCCAAGGAAGCCGAAGTGATCGGAGTAAAGGATGAGATTTGGGTCGTGATCGAAAAAGACCACAGTAAGGGGAGGCATGATGAGAAAAAGGTAAGGACGCCCCAATTAATGGTCGATGATGAGTCCTTGAGGACAAGGACATTCTTAAAGGGGGCGGGAATGATGCGGAAGTGGGTATTGACCTCCGAAGATGAGAAGGTCCGAAGGCCGATACTATCCGAGAAGGCCAAGCAAAAGGCCAGAACAAGGCTTGCATGGCCTAGGAGACGTGCACAAGCCCGTATACGGGGCTGCCGACGTGCGCAATGGCATAGAAGGTCAAGCATGCAAGGGTCTACCATGGTAAGGAGGGCAAGCAACAAGCCCAAGAAATCGAGGCATGAAGGGTCGAGGTCGACGCTAGCACGACCAAATGCAGGAGGGTCGGAGCTGCAACAGATCGACGCGCTAGTAGGTCGAGCAGTTGGTCGACGATCGAGGAGTAGAACACGAATATCGCACTACGGGCAGTGCGCATGCGAGGTGCAAGTCTTAGAGCGCTTGAGGGAGGACTACGCGCAATGGACTGGGGTCAAGTATACGATAACGGGCTCAGGCAACGTGATCGACTGGTGCAAGACATGCACGAGAAAGCAACGCGCACGATGCTTGGAGGCTAAAGCCACGGGCATTTACATTGTTGAGGAGACGAGCGGTGCGCGAGGGGAGGATGTTGGGTGGACAACGCGCACGTGGGACGACTGCAAGGAAGGGCGCGAACACGCGCATTGTCGTAGACGCACGCGGACAAGACCACACCTTGGAAGGAAGCGCTATCGGAGGTTTTGGGATGGTTATCAAAGGACGTGAACCTGGTGGCAATGGCTAAGGAACCAGGTGGCTCGACGGAATGGAAGGCACGCGAGTTGGGTGCCCAACGGGTGCAGCCCGCGCACATGGGCGCGCTGGCAGCATGCTGGCTGGCAGTGGCGCGCAAGGCCACGCTGATGCGGACACGGCGAGAAGACTCAAGAATGCAGCGAGTCGCGCATGGCATGCACGAAGGAGGCTAAGTCGTCGTGCCGGCGAGGCGCGATACGCGGACGGACACGCGCGCGATACTATCAGGGACGAGCGCGGGGTTGAACGTGCAGGCGACGGGGTACACGCGCGTACTTGCCTAGGCGCGCGAGGATTAGGCGAGCTCCTGGACGCGTGCACGGGAATGGAAGATCAAGCCCTAGTCCTTGGGAAATTAGGCAACGCGGACGCGGACAGGGCGGCGTGAGGCGCTAGCAAGAAATATTCTAGATAGCTTGGTCAATATTTTATTTCCTTGTTTTCTAGTTTGTTTAGGATACTTTATATTTTATTGCTTTCCTAGAGTAAGTATACTAGTCTAAGTACATTAGGACTAGATCTTTATTTTGAGCCTTATAAATAGGCGTGCCTTGTTCTCAATTATGCATATTGATTCTTCTTAATACAAAAACCGAACTTTGTTCAAATCTCTTGCTTTGGTTTACGTTAAGTGTTCTATTGCAAATTATCGTTCGAAGGGGCACGAGTGTGTGAACCTCCGAGCACAGTATCGGCGATTTAAGGCGCGGGAGCGGCTTGTCGGCAATCGA